CACATGCCTGTGATCCCAGCTACTTGGGATACTGAGGCAGGAGGATTGCTTGAGCCCAGGAAGTCAAGGCTGCAGTGAGCTGTGATTATGCCACTATACTTCAGCCTGGGTGACAGTGCAAGACCCTGGCTCAAAAAAAAAAAAAGAAACATAGTAGTGGACAAGTTTTTTTAAAAATCCCTTTGAGACTCAGACTCCATGGATTCTGACTCTGGTTCCTCTTAGGGTCTAGGCGTAAATGCCAGTAGTCTTTCTTTGAAAGATTAGTGTTCCTTGTTAATTGATAATTTCCTTGTTAATTGATAACAAGGAACACTAATCTTTCAAAGAATGGCTACCCTGTGTATTAAAATAGCACAGAAAAAGCCACCCGGGTCTGGTTTTTCTAAATATCTGCAGTGGACAAAGTGACTGGTCAGTCGGTTTTGGAAGGCCACAGAATGAGTCATGTTGCTTTCAGTTAACATCTCAAACCACCAATTTTGTTTCCATTGGTATTCACCCCGTGTCTTTGCTCTCCTAACTATACAGGGTTCTCAGGAAATTTGAGTGGAAGCAGGGAGTGGTAAAATGGGTGACAGATGTTCTCATCTGACATAGTAATAAGTGCTGAAACAGCTAAGCTGAATTTGTAGCTACTCAATTAATGGTGCCAATATTTTCACAGGAGTGCTACCTCTTACATTTCTTCTATTTCTCTCTTTTTCATCTTGTTTGTAGATGATTAAACTTCTACTTGTAATAATTTCCTTCTACTTGTTTGTCCAAATTCAAGCAAGTTTTCTTAGGCTGTTATATTCAGATCTAAGCTTAAGTGGTGCTCCTCAGAGAGACTTTTCTAGATCACCCATTCACCTAAGAGGCTACTCTGTCATTTCTTGTCATATAACCCATTACAATGTTTTGCATAGCAATTATCATTACTTGATGTTTTCTTGTTGTTCATGTAAACATTTAATCTCTGTCTTCTTCTACTAGAATGTAAGCTCCCAAAGACCAGAGACCTTGTCTGTTTTGTTCTTAGCAATTCAAGGGCATAGTGGATGCTCAAGATATGTTTATTGATTGAATAAGTGTTTGAATGGTTAATGGTAAGTAAGGACAAATCCTAACAACAGCTTACCTTTCTTTGTTTCATTTTCCTCTGGCTCTGGGTCTGTCTGGTCATTGCTCTGCTGGCTGTTGTTGCTGACGGCTGTCTGATTATTCTCTGGCTCAGGAGGGCTATGGCTAGTCCCTTCTTCAGTGCTATCAGTGGCAGAGGTAGCTTCTTCCTCTTTTTTGTCATTCATCTCATCTTCTTCCGAAGGGGCCAAGCAATGAAGCTTCAGGCCGGTGAAGTTGGAGAGCAGCAAGAATAGTGCCTCAGAGCGAAATAACTTCATGCACTCCTTCAATATATCAGGAAGCTTACTCTCCTCAGCTTTCTCATAAAACCTGAAACACAGCAATGTCAAGTTGTTCATCAAAGCCACAGATATAAAATGACTCATGGAATAAAAGCTGATCCTTAGCTTTGTAACTCTCTTCCTAAATCTTGGCACAGCTTACTAAAGTACAAGTTATTACAATAGTGAGACTTTGTTAGGATTTTGTAGGACATCCTGCTACTCGATGTCCCTGAGAACAAAACATCATTAGGGCAAGTGTCCTGTTTTTGGGTGTGAGCCTTGGTCCATGATTATGTATTTTCTCCTGTTGGTTATTTGATTTTCTTTCATGAATTGCCTGTCATCACCTCAGTGTATTTTTCCTTTAGGCTTTTTGTCATTTTACTAGTTATAAAAGATATTATAGGTACTGAATGCAGAAGCAAATATCTCAGATGACGGGTTCTACCTTTTGTTAGGGGGACCTCGGCTGCTCCATTCCACATCTCCATGCTCCAAGGCCTCACAGACTTCCGCAAATTTCTCAGGCTAGAAAATGAGCAAATAAAGAAGCAGTAAGCAAATCTCCCTATTACCCCACACTGGTTTGGCAGGTACAGCAGCTCTGCCAAACATCAATCTGGCTGATTCCTAAAAGGTGCAGTTGACTCTACTCCTTTCTTGTCTTTTTTTTTTTTTTCTGCTCTTATTGCCCAGGCTGGAGTGCAGTGGTGTGATCTTGGGTCACTGCAACATCTGCTTCCTGGGTTCCAGCGATTCTCCTGCCTCAGCTTCCTGAGTAGCCGGGATTACAGGCATGCACCACCATGCCCGGCTAATTTTGTATTTTTAGTAGAGATGGGGTTTCTCCATGTTGGTCAGGCTGGTCTTGAACTCCCTACTTCAGGTGATCCACCCACCTCAGCCTCCCAAAGTGCTGGGATTAATGGCATGAGCCACTGCACCCTGCCGCCTCTCACTCCTGTCATACAAGATCCCCTACTCCTGCTGTGGTGAAGCCAGGGGCAAAGACTGGATACAGCATCAGCTTGCTTTAACCAAGAGATCTGAGTGCCCATTATGGCCCATTCTCTTAAGTAGTTATATATCTTACGTCAAACTCCTCAGCCTCCCAAATTGCTGCATTTATAAAATGAGGATCATAATACAGACCATACTACAACTCACAAGATGTTGTGAGGATAAAAATTAAACTGCATTACAGTCAAGGTCATTACTGTGAAAATCTCTAACAATTCAGATTCTCTAGGCTCCTAATTTAATAAGCATTCTAAATTCAAAAAGTTAGGTATGACATAAGGAAGCTGGTTAATCTATTAAAATATTCTCCACAAGAGGCTTTCCATTTATTTGTTTAATGCAGTTTCCCAAGCAGTCCTATCAGCTATAAATACGTGAAAAAGGAAAGCTCCCACAGCATGGTTTAGGTAAACTCAATTGAATAGGGTATTCAGTTTATTTACTATAATACTTCTCAAAATCTTATATGCTAATGTCAGCTATAAAATTCCTAGAGACAGAATGTAGAGTCTCTCAACCTTTTTTCAGGGAGGAACAGCTCTTGGGACCATAGTTCCCTGGGACCCACAGTCAACTGTGAAGTGCCATGCCAGCAAGTTATCTTATTGGCCCTCACAACAACTCTGTAAGAAAGGCAAGGTAGGCCGGGCGCGGTGGCTCAAGCCTGTAATCCCAGCACTTTGGGAGGC